ACACCGACGCTTCGTCGCGGCTCAGGCGCTGCGAACGGTCGACCTTTTCGACCAGCGACTCATACTTTCCGGATAACCCAAACATAATTCCTAAAATATTTACGGTACGAAAAAAGGCTGCCAAATGCTTAGCAGCCCCTCATTTCTCTGTCAGGAACGATTATTTCCAACGGGTGTCGTCGGAAACGGTCAACTTCTTGCGTCCTTTCGCGCGACGGGCGGCAAGCACCTTGCGACCGTTGGCAGTAGACATTCTTTCACGGAAACCGTGCTTGTTGATCTTTTTTCTCTGAGAGGGTTGAAAAGTCCTTTTCATCGCGTTTTATGTTTTTATCTATTTTCGTTTTCTCTTGTCCTGCGTCCGATTCGCACGCAACGGAGTGCAAAGGTAAAACATTTTTGATTTATACAAAAACTTTTTGAGAAAAATAAGCATACAGCGAAATAGCCGATACGGGAAATGCGCCGTCCGTCCCCTATTTCGGAAAGTAAACCACCTTTTTGGTTTCGAAAAACGGCTCGCCGAAGAAATCCGGAATATCGAACACCGTGTACGGTTTGCCCACCGCATCCAATTCGGCGTCCAGGTCGCCGCCTTGAGGTACAGTATGCCCCCTGCAGCGATCCGGCCCCGGCGACCGGTTCCAGCTTGTTCCACACCCAACCGACGAACGGTTTCATTTCGGTGACGGCCCGGCTGACGACGAAATCGAATTTTCCGGGCATCTGCTCGACGCGGCTGTGAACGCCCCTACGTTCGAAATTCCCGCCGCACGGGAAATCTCCCGCACGACCGGATCTTCTTGCCGATCGAATCGACCAGCGTGAAACGAACCTCCGGGAAAGGATGGCCAGCGGAATCCCCGGGAAACCGCCTCCGCACCCCACGTCCAGCACCCGCGCACCGGGGTGGACGCACACACCTTCGCGATGGCCAGCCCGTGCAGCACATGCCGCAGGTAAAGCTGGTCGATGTCCTTACGCGAAACGACGTTGATCCGGTCGTTCCATTCGCGGTACAACGCCCCGAGAGCGGCGAACCGTTCCCGCTGTACGGCCGTAAGTTCCGGAAAATATTTCAGAATGAGTTCCATGTTCTGTTTGTCATGAATTCCGCCCGTTGCCCGATCCGGCGGCAAGTCGGCCGCGCAAACCGTTCCGTCGGACAGGCGGCCTTTCGGGAAAAAGGCGAGCGTTCGATCCCGTAAAAGATTTCAAAATCACTTATCGCGCGAAAGAACGAAATCGGCGAACAAATGCAGCGAACGAAGTACGTCGGACTCCGGATAGCCTTCCAGGAAGGCCAGCGCCCGATTCCGGTATTCGGTCATGCACTGCCGCGCATACGCGATGCCGTCGCTGTCGAGCACCGCCTTGCACAGATAATCGACGTTTTTAGGCGAATTACGCACGTCGCTGAGTTTGCGACCAGCTTCCGGCGGCGTTCGGGCGCACTCTGGTCCAGCAAACGGAGCAGCGGCAGCGTGATCTTGCGTTCGCGCATATCGCCTCCGGCCGGTTTGCCGGTCACCTCCATCGGCGAATAGTCCAGAATATCGTCCTTGATCTGAAACGCGATGCCCAGGTGATCGCCGAACTGCCTGAGAGCCGCCACGCGGTCGGCAGGCGCACCTACCGAAATCGCCCCGACCGCAGCGCAAGCTCCCAGCAGCGAAGCGGTCTTCTTATAGATGATATCGTAATAGATCGCTTCGGTCATCGCCAGTTTCTCGGTCTGTTCGGTCTGGATCAGCTCCCCCTCGCAAACTTCGTGGATCGAACGGGTCACCTCGGTCAGCATGTCCCAGCCCCCGTTTTGCAAGCTCACGTGATACGTGCGGGCGAAAATAAATCGCCGATCAGCACAGCCGTGCGCGAATGCCACAGCGCATTGACCGACGGAGCGCTGCGACGCACGTAAGCCTCGTCCACCACATCGTCGTGGATCAGCGAAGCCGTATGGATCATCTCGACGAGCGAGGCTCCCATGTAGCTGCGATCGGCCACTTCGCCGTGCAACGCCGCCGACAGCAACACCAGCAACGGACGCAGTTGCTTGCCCCGGTTACTCAGGATGTAATCGGTGATGGAAGCGACGTAGCGGTTGTCGCTGTGAAGGATGGAAGCTATATACTCCTCATAGCTGCGGATTTTTCCGGCTATGGGAAGCTGTATCTCTTCGAGCGTAATTTTCCGAGTCTCTTTCATCGAACCACAAATATCCGAGATTTTTCCGAATCGTCAAAATTTAATCGGAGTTTTTACCGTATGCGACACAAACCGGATGCGGCGCGGCGCAGACAACACGAACCGCCCGAGTCCGTTTTACAGATTAGAAGAGAAGCCCGTAAGCGTCCCGACAGGCTTTTGCGTAGGGACCGGTTGTGATTAATTGTTGATAAATGATCCGGAAATCCGGCGGAAAAACCGAAAATTTATGCTAAACTTGCATGGTTCTAAAATTTGGGGAAATCTGCGTTTATGGTAAGATCTATATTGTACTACATCCTTTGGTTGTGTTCACGTTACTCTGTTTCATCCCGTTCGCAGTCCTATTCTTGCTGACGGTGCTTTTCGACCGGGAACGGGTGGTGCTGCACTGGGCCTCGCGGATGTGGTCGTACGGGATTTCAGGTTGTGCCCCTGGTGGCGCATACGGATAGAAGGCGCCGAAAAAAATCGACCGCAGTCGGCCGTGGGTGATCGTCACGAACCATCAGTCGATGCTCGACATCCCGCGATGTACGTACTGCCCACGACGTTCAAATGGGTATCGAAAAAAGAGGTGCAGAAATGCCCGTTTTCGGTTGGGTGCTGTGGATGCACGGCGACATTCCGGTCGAACGCGGCTCGCGGGGCAGCGCCAAACAGATGCTCGAACGCTGCCGGCAGCGGTTGTCGCGCGGAACGTCGGTGATCGTCTTCCCGGAAGGGACGCGCACCAAGACGGGAGAGATCGGACGGTTCAAAGACGGGGCTTTCTTGGTGGCCAAGCATGCCGGCGTGGGCATCCAACCGGTCGTGATCGACGGCACGTGGAGCCTGAACGACGGCTGGCGGCTGCGGATGCCGCATACGTTCCGGGTAAAGGTGCTCGACGCGCTGCCTGCGGAATACGTAGCGTCGAAGGAAGCCCGCGAACTGGCCGTCGAAATGGAAAACCGGATGCGGACGGCGCACCTGCAAATGACCGGAAAACAACATAAACGAAAAATAAAAGAGATAGGAGCACGAGAATCGACTATGGGTATGGTTGCAGATTACGGGGACGAACACATCCGGACACTGGATTGGAAAGAGCACATCCGGCGGCGGCCGGGTATGTATATCGGAAACTCGGCGACGGAACGTCCGCCGACGACGGGATCTACATCCTGATCAAAGAGGTGCTGGACAACTCCGTAGACGAATACATGATGGGCTTCGGCAAGAGCATCGACATCACGATCGCGGACGACAAGACCGTCACCGTACGCGACTACGGACGCGGCGTGCCGCTCGGCAAACTGGTGGACGTGGCGTCGAAGATGAACACCGGCGCGAAATACGACTCGAAAGCGTTTAAAAAATCGGTCGGACTGAACGGCGTCGGCATCAAGGCGGTCAACGCGCTGTCGGACGCTTTCCTGATCCGCAGCGTGCGCGACGGCGAAGCCCGCAGCGTGCGGTTCGAGAAGGGGAACGAAATCGCGGACGTGTCCGAAAGCGGCGTCGGCGAAAAGAACGGGACGATGGTGTCGTTCCATGCCGACGAAAGCGTTTTCGGCAGCTACGACTTTCACATGGAATACGTGGAGTCGATGGTACGCAACTACACTTACCTGAACGCCGGGCTGACGATCAGGGTCAACGGGCAGCGTTCGTCTCGAAAAACGGGCTGCTCGACCTGCTGCAGGAAAACCTCGGCGAAGAGCCGCTCTACCCGCCCGTTCACCTCTGCGGAGAGGACATCGAAGTGGTCATCACGCACGGGCACGGCTACGGCGAAACCTACTACTCGTTCGTCAACGGTCAGCATACGACGCAGGGCGGAACGCATCAGACCGCTTTCCGCGAAGGGATCGCCAAGACGATCAAGGAATTTTACAAAAAGGACTACGATGCGGCAGACGTCCGCACGTCGGTGATCGCGGCGATCAGCGTCAAAGTCGAGGAGCCGATGTTCGAATCGCAGACCAAAACGAAACTCGGTTCGAAAGAGATGGGCCCGAACGGGCCTACGGTGCGGAACTTCATCGTCGATTTTCTGAAAACGGAACTCGACAATTTCCTGCACAAACACCCGGAAACGGCCGATATCCTGCAAAAAAAATACAGGAAAACGAAAAAGAGCGCAAGGCGATCTCGGGCATTCAGAAAAAGGCCCGAGAGATGGCCAAAAAAGTGAGCCTGAACAACAAGAAACTGCGCGACTGCCGCATCCACCTGACCGACAAGAACGACCGCGCCGAAGAGTCGATGATCTTCATCACCGAGGGTAATTCGGCCAGCGGCTCGATCACCAAATCGCGCGACGTGAATACGCAGGCCGTGTTCAGCCTCCGGGGCAAGCCGCTGAACTGCTTCGGGCTAACAAAAAAAAATCGTTTACGAGAACGAGGAATTCAACCTGCTGCAGGCGGCGCTGAACATCGAGGAGGACATGGACAACCTGCGCTACAACAAGATCGTCGTGGCGACCGATGCCGACGTCGACGGGATGCACATCCGTTTGCTGCTGATGACTTTCTTCCTACAGTTCTTTCCGGAAGTGATCCGTTCGGGACACCTGTACATTTTGCAGACGCCGCTGTTCCGCGTCCGCAACCGACGGGAAACGCGCTACTGTTACAGCGAGGAAGAGCGGCAACGGGCGGTCGACCAACTGGGCCCGAACCCCGAAATCACGCGATTCAAAGGATTGGGCGAAATCTCGGCCGACGAGTTCAAAGAGTTCATCGGCGAAAACATGCGGCTCGACAAAGTGCGGCTGACCAAGGAAGACCCGGTCGCCGATCTGCTCGAATTCTACATGGGCAAGAACAGCATGGAACGCCAGGGCTTCATCATCGGCAACCTGCGGATCGAGGCCGATTACGTGGACAACCTGATTTAAACGCGATCCGGACTATTTTCAGGCAAGGAACACAACACCAGACATGAACGAAGAACAAAATATCAACAACCGCCGGGACGACCTCCCGGCCGGCGCGGAAACGGACGGAGGAAATAACGCCCGCGCCGGAAAATACGGACGTCTGACCGACGACAAACCCGACCGGCGCAAACTGACCGGCATGTACCAGGACTGGTTTCTGGATTACGCATCGTACGTGATCCTCGAACGCGCCGTGCCGCATGTCGAAGACGGGCTGAAGCCGGTGCAGCGGCGCATCCTGCACGCGATGAAGAAACTGGACGACGGCCGGTACAACAAAGTGGCGAACATCATCGGGTCGACGATGCAATACCACCCGCACGGCGACGCCTCGATCGGTGACGCGCTGGTGCAACTCGGGCAGAAAGACCTGCTGATCGACTGCCAGGGAAACTGGGGCAACGTGCTGACCGGCGACGGAGCCGCCGCCCCGCGTTACATCGAGGCGCGGCTGTCGAAATTCGCGCTGGACGTGGTGTTCAACCCGAAAGTCACCGAATGGATGCTGTCGTACGACGGGCGGAATCAGGAACCGGTAACGCTGCCTGTCAAATTCCCGCTGTTGTTGGCCCAGGGAGTCGAGGGCATCGCGGTCGGACTGGCATCGAAAATCCTGCCACATAACTTCAACGAACTGATCGACGCGAGCATCGCCTACCTCCGGGGCGGCGACTTCGAAATTTACCCGATTTTCCGACCGGGGGGCTGGCCGACGTATCGCGCTATAACGACGGACTGCGCGGCGGAGCGGTCAAAGTGCGCGCCCGGATCAACAAGATCGACAAACGGACGCTGGCGATCACCGAAATTCCGTTCGGCACGACCACCGAGTCGATCAAGGATTCGATCATCCGCGCGAACGACAAAGGCAAGATCAAAATCAAGAAGGTCGACGACAATACGTCCGACAAGGTCGAGATCGTAATTCACGTCAGCAACGACGAGTCGTCCGACCGGACGATCGACGCGCTGTACGCGTTCACCGACTGCGAAGTGTCGATCTCGCCGAACGCCTGCGTCATCATGGACGAGAAACCTCACTTCATGGGCGTCCGCGAAATCCTGCGACGCTGCGCCGACCATACCAAAGAACTGCTCAAACGCGAGCTGGAGATCCGGATGGAAGAACTCGAACAAGATTGGCACATGTCGTCGCTCGAAAAGATCTTCATCGAGAACCGGATTTACCAGTTGATGGAAGAGTGCACCTCGCGGAAGCGGCCTACGCCGCCGTCGGCAAGGGACTCGAACCGTTCGCCCGCCTGCTACGGCGCGAAATCACGCTCGACGACATCGTCAAACTGACCGAACTGCGAATGATCCGCATTTCGCGCTACGATGCGTTCAAAGCCGACGAACACATCCGCAACGTAGAGGACGAGATCAAGCAGGTGAAGCACGACCTGGCACACCTGATCGACTACGCGGTCGCCTACTTTACGCGGATACGCGATAAATACGGTAAAAACTGCGAGCGGAAAACCGAACTGCGCAGTTTCGACTCGATCGAAGCGACGAAAGTGGTCGTGGCGAACGCCAAGCTGTATGTCAACCGCGAAGAGGGATTTTTCGGGATCGGAGCGGCGATGCGTAAGGACGAGTTCGTCTGCGACTGCTCGGACATCGACGACGTGATCGTCATCACGAAGGAAGGCAAATACATCATCACGAAAGTGTCGGACAAGGCGTTCTTCGCGAAGAACATTTATTATATAGGTATCTTCAAGCGCAACGACGAACGGACGATCTACAACGTGCTGTACCGCGACGGGCGCAACGGGCCGGTGATGATGAAACGTTGCGCGATCAAAGGAATCACGCGCGACCGCGAATACGACATCACCAAAGGAACGCCGAAAAGCGATATCTTGTACATGAGCGTCAACCCGAACGGCGAAGCCGAAATCCTGAAGGTTTACTTCAAACCGAGGCCGAGGCTCAAAAAGCTGATCGTCGACCTGAACTTCAGCGAACTGGCGATCAAAGGGCGGCAGTCGCAGGGCAACCTGTTCTCGCGCTACGCGATCCATAAGATCGTATTGAAGGAGCGCGGCGCATCGACCCTCGGCGGCGTGGACGTATGGTACGACGACGAAATCCGTCGGCTGAACACCGACGGGCGCGGCGAATTGCTCGGCGAATTCGTCGGCGACGACAAGTTGATCGTAATGACCGGCAAAGGGCTTTATTACACGGCGAACTACGACCTGGGCCTGCATTTCCCGGAGGACACGATCCGCGTCGAAAAATACGACAGCGACCGAATCTATTCGGTCGTCTATTTCGACGGAGAACAGAACTACTACTACGTCAAGCGGTTCAATGCCGAATCGAGCGACAACAAAATGCAGAATTTCGTCGAAGACACCGCCGGATCGTACATGGTGGCGATCAACAGCGACACCTATCCGCAGTTGCAGGTCGTTTACGGCGGACACAACGCCGGGCGGCCCGACGACACGATCGACGTCGACGAGTTCATCGGAGTGAAGAGCCACCGGGCGAAAGGGAAACGAGTCACGACGCTCGACGTGGATAAAATCGTATTCGCCGAACCGCTCGACAAGGAACCGCGGCCGGAGGAGACGCCCGGACGTCCGGACGACGAAAACGGAGCGGAAGAGACTTCGGAGAGACCGGGAAGACCGCGCCGGAACGCAGCAGCGCGCCCGACGCCGGCGGTGCCGGCAAAACCGCTCCCCCGAAAAATTACGTCGCGGGGGATACCGTCGAGTTCGACATCGCCGCCGAAGAAGAACAGCAGCAGAACACCAAACAGATGAACCTGTTCGGGGAAGAATAATGTAAAACCGATCCGAAAGATGCTGATATTTTTAGTGGGATACATGGGCTGCGGCAAAAGCACGATCGGCCGGACACTGGCAAAACAACTCGGCGTCCGGTTTCTGGATATGGATACGCTGCTCGAACAGCGCTGCGGCAAAAGCGTTGCCGAAATCTTCACAGAAACAGGCGAAACCGGATTCCGGCAGTCCGAACGCGAAGTGCTGGCCGAGCTGACCTCCGAACGGGAGGCCATCGTGGCGACCGGCGGCGGCGCGCCGTGTTTCTTCGACAACATGGAAACGATGAACCGCGCGGGACTGACGGTCTATTTCAAAATGAGTCCCGAGAAACTGGCCGGGCGCCTCGAACACGGCAAGGCGAAACGGCCGCTGCTGCGCGACAAAAGCGAAGAAGAATTGATCGGTTTTATCCGCGAAAATGTCGCAAAACGCGAAAAGTACTACATGCAGGCAAAGCTGATCATCGACTGCGACGGAGTCCGGGACGACTACATCGCACATCACATCGCCGAATACATCGAAACGAAAAAAGAGCAGTAAATCCGATGAAAACCTGTTTTACCTCCTGATTCTGGCCGCCGTGACGGGATGCTCCCCGTCGGGTTCGCAGCTTTCGTGGCGACAAGAGACTTTCGGACACAGCACTTTCACCGCAGACAGCGATTATGTCGAAGTGAGCTATCCGGTTGCGGCGGGAGGGCGAAGCGCCGATTCGATCAATCGGAAAATCGCCGACCGAATTAAAACCGGTTTCGGCCTGACGGACGAAGAATACGCCCGAATGACGCCGCAGCAGGCGACCGACTCGCTATTGGCGCGCAAAAACCGCGATCCGCAGACCGCCCGTCTTCCTTACGACTTGCGTTTCCACGGAGAGATCCGTCAATGCGGTAAGGTAACGTCGTTGCGGTGCACCGTCTATACCCTGACCGGCGGGGCGCACGGTTTGCTGACCAACCTGTTTTTCAATTTCGATACGGAAAGCGGAAAGCCGCTGGATAAAGCCGATCTGTTTTCCGATACCGCCGGACTGCAACGGCTGAACCGGCAATATTTCGCGAAGCACCTTTCGGACGCAGCTCTGAGCGAAGACGCTTTGTTTGTTGGAACGGATCAATTACCTTTGCCGGAAAATGTGGGCATCGACAGCAGCGGCGTGACCATGCTGTACAATCCGTACGAGGTGGCTCCTTACGCGATCGGAACGATCGAATACCGGATTCCGTACGAACAGGCCGAGCCGCTGTTGAAACGGATCGCCCGCCGGTAGCGACCGCGCGGCCGGACGACATAAAAACGAATAAACATTAAACCCTATAACGATGATCCTGTTTTTCAAGAAAGACGATACCGTATATGCCGTTCAGGCGACGACGGAATTTTCTGCGGAAGAGATATCTCGGCTGCAATGGCTTTTCGGCGGAGCCGAACACCTCGGGGCCGAAAGCCTCGAAGGTATTTTCATCGGCCCGCGCCGCGAAATGATTACGCCGTGGAGTACCAACGCCGTCGAAATCACGCAGAACATGGGCCTGCACGGCATCCTGCGGATTGAGGAATTCGACGAAGCGCAGGACGAAAACGCCGCGTTCGACCCGATGCTGAAGCGGAAATACCATACGATCGACCAGCAGGTATTCACGATCAGCAAGCAGCCCGATCCGGTAGTTTACATCGACGACATCGCCGCTTACAACAAACAGGAAGGGCTGGCGCTCAGCGAAGAAGAGATCGCCTACCTGGAGGACGTCAGCCGGCGCGTAGGGCGTAAGCTGACCGATAGCGAGGTATTCGGTTTCTCGCAGGTCAACTCGGAACACTGTCGCCACAAGATTTTCAACGGACAATTCGTCATCGACGGCGAGGAGAAGGACACGACCCTTTTCGGGCTGATCCGCAAAACCACGAACGAGCACCCCGGCCGCGTCGTTTCGGCCTACAAAGACAACTGCGCCTTCCTACAAGGCCCGAAGGCCGAACAGTTCGCCCCTGCGACCCACGACACGTCGGACTATTTCGAGATCAAGGAGTTCGAGAGCGTCATTTCGATCAAGGCCGAAACGCACAACTTCCCGACGACCGTCGAGCCGTTCAACGGCGCGGCAACCGGAACCGGCGGCGAGATCCGCGACCGGATCGCCGGCGGCAAGG